TCTGCTCAGTTTCCTGCTGGTTTGTAGCATTTCCAAGCAGAATGGAAGGTTCTGGGGTGGAGGTGGTGCCAGGCCAATATTCCTGCTGCGGCATGCCCAGCGTCAAGGAGCCCTAGTTCTGTGGGCACCAGCAGTGGCGCTCTGGGCCCACTCTCGGGGCACAGCCCGAGACATCACTTGCCACCTCTTTGTCTTACCTGGCCCTCACCAGGGGCTGCGGACTCTGTGGAGCTGGCTGCTGGGTGCTCCACTCAGGGGAGCATGCTGTGGCCTGGAGGGTCCCCTGGCTGGCCTCAGGGACCATCAGCGTTCCCGTGTCACCCGCAGCCAACCTGGGGCCCTCCCTTTCCAGGCGGCTGAAGCTGGCCCAGTTTGACTACGGGAAGAAGTGCTCGGAGATCGCTCAGCTGACAGAGGGCATGTCTGGCCGGGAGATCGCCCAGCTCGCCGTGGCCTGGCAGGTGAGGGGGGCCGGCCGGTTTGATGAGGTGGGCTGCTGGCCCGGAGCCCCCCACAGTTGAGCATGGGGGTCTTAGGGAAAGGTTTCTGTCCTGGCTTAGGCAAGGATGTCTACCTGGCAGCTGCACGTAGACACAGACAGAAGTCCACCAGGGGCACCTGGGGACAGCTGTTGACATTCAACCTTCACAGGTCCTGCCATATCCAGTGGGGCTGTTGGGGAAGCAGGGGGTTCTCAGCAGCACGGTTATAGTGGCCTCACATCAGACGTCCCAGGGCAGGCGGGGTGGGGGACTCAGGACACAACTGAAACCAGGGAAGAGCCAGCTCTGGTCCAGTGGGAGGGTGGTCAGGGACGGGTGTCCCGTGTCCACAGGCCTGCCTGGCGGGGGAGCAGCAGCAGCCAGTCTGCTCCTCTCGGCTGAGGTCCTCTCCAGGTGGGCCATGCCCTGGTGTCCAGGGCTGGAGAGCCCACCCTGTGGTCTTCAAGGGGTCAGCTGGGGCTCCTGGATGAGTCATTCAGGGCCCAATGGGTGAGAGTGGTATAGTCTCCCCACACCCAGTCTTTCCTTCTGGTGTCTCCCCAGTAGCAGCTGCCCAGGCTTGAAGTGACTGAGTGTTTGATTAATGCGTGCAAACTCCCCCTCACCTCAGCACACAGGAGGCTTAGTCAGGATGGCCTGGGGTTCGCTGGTGTGACAAACAGCCCCAAGTCTCCATTCCATCCCTGCCCCGGCCCCACTGAATGGAGTCATCCCATTGCCCACCTGACAAAGGTGGCACCCTCGTGTGTGCCTGAGAGGTGGAGCCGGAGGTGTACAGGCAGAGAGGCCCTGTTGAGACCCCAGGGCCGTGGCCCCTCGCTGCCAGGTCTCTGAGCCTGCCTGCAGGCATGCTCCCATGGGTCATGCCCATGGGCTTCCCCTGGCCTTGGTTGGCACTTGTCCCGAGATAAGCCTCACAGAGGGGCTCTAAGGCACTGCCTTCCCACCCTGACCTGTCTGAAACTGGTCCCGGCCGCCTGTCAAGTTTTCTCTGTCTGGCCTGAGGGACACAGAACTGAGCCAGCTTGGTTGCTCAGGCTACCTCCCACCCAGGGCTGGGTCTCATGTTGGTTCAGAGGCCATTTGGTGGCCATGCAGGGACCCCTGCGTCAGCCTGCTGGTCAGAGCCTCCGGTCTGAGGGTTTGCCACCACGTTTTAGACAAGCTTGCAATTTTTGTGTGGTTTTGGGGTATGCCCTCCACGCAAGAGACCTCCCCAGCCCAGTCTGCTGTGACCCCACCCTCAGAAGCTGCTGGGCCCTCGGCCTGGACTGCCAGTCCGTGTGTGAAGGAAGACCTGAGCACCCACAGAGGGCCAGAGGAGAACTTGCTTCCCCCTCCCGTACAGCCTGGGGGCGGGGCTGGGAGGAGGGGGCTTGGCTTCACCTGACACAGGCCGCCTCCTTGGGCCTCTAGCCAATAATCTGGGTGCAGGGGCAGCCCCACCTCCAGAGGGGCCCTGTGGCTCCTCCCACCGTGGGC